ATATATTCAGCGAATTCAGAACAGCATAGACCTACACATGACTTACAATGATTGGCCCATAAGGCCCTCATTCCCAAGGCGGTACTCTCTTCATTTACCACAGTTTCTCATCTTTGTTACTACGAGACCCTTCACTCTTCATTCTGTCCTATATCTGACCTCTTGGCATCATCTGGCCAAGCAATAGGATATTTTCGTTTGGCATATGTCTAATGAAGTGTAGGGGTCAAGTTAGACCCTAATCGTTACAACAGCATACTCTTCTATCTGATTTTGCATATCGCAGTACTAAAGAAGAAAGCTATTACATTGGTTTTTGTAATGTCATATTTCCCGTTTAATATGGACACTAATAATTTCCGACTCCAATCAGCATAAATCAAAAGAAAACTCACAATTAGAGAACAATATGAGCATCGTCATCAGGATCAAACAGGCTGAATTCCACATGAAAACAATTCCAAAATAAGCACCTTCTTCATCCAACTGATGTTTCGTCATCAAGTTCAGAAATCCTACAGCTGAATAGTTCATCTGCGAATGAATCCATACAGCAGATGGCTTAAACGAAAAAAATGTTAAAAGAAACAAAACCCAACAAAGTTTTCAACTATTCATATTACCCCAAATATATACATCTGCAAGCGTTTTAAATTATACTTTTTGATTAGCCATCGCATATATATCCTATAAAAGAATGTGGCCAAGTGAAGAGAGTAAGGACATTAGAAAATGGGAATATTTGAAAAAGTAATTGCAAGATACTCTCTCCTCATTTTTAGTTCTTCAATCGTCACATCTACCATCATGACCACCGCGATACTCTTTTGTTCCTATTAATCGTATTCATTCTCATTCACACTCATAGCATTTCCATTCACTTTTACCAATTTCTTCTGCGTCTAGTCGCTTTTTCCTTTCCTTTTTTTTGGTTGAAAAACCAAATCCTATTCAATTAACTTGCACGGATAATCCATTCTTCCACAACATTTCATATAAAAGAATAATATTCTATAATTTCCCGCAGATTCTGAAATGTCGTCGTAGTCGATAATCTTTTTATGTGTCATAGAAAGTAATCCAGCTGTCATGAATTTATCACAAGCCATTGTGAATAAATGTCTCTGAAATGTGAGTGGCTTTTCAATTACTTCCACCTTGTATACATCTAAATATCATTTTAATTCATTTATCTAATGCTCATAAACCTATTCTTTTCAGAGCCCCTATAATTTCCGGATACAGGCAAAGTCTATTTTTAAAAAGCTGTTTAAAATGGATAATCGAAAGAAATCAGGTACTCACTCACACACATCCTTTATAATGCTATTGATAGCATTATAATTATGTGTTATAAAGCGTTAGATATATGTGAATATATGCACATGCCGTTCCATATACAGATACACATTCATAACCCACTATATAATTATATGTAATAGAAGATAACAATTTACATACATATAACTATATAGCATTATGACCAGATGTCCATGGATATACTAATCATATCAAAAAACACTTAAAATTCCTATACATATATATCCCCCCCCCCCACCTATAATCCATACATCTATATATATATATATATAGTATAGGGCTCTCCCTTTCTCTATCTCTGTTTCTTCCTACTCCTTCTCAATTGACTATTTGATTGAATGCCCCTATAAACTCAAAAAGTCCAATGAAGCTCACAAAGAAGAAGCTTTCAGATAATTCTCCTCATGGCAATATTATCTTATTGCCACACAAGTGTGCAGATATCTTCAAATACTTAAGATTCTGCTGCACTCTTGTCCGAAAGTATGGTTTCGGAATAGAAGGTTTCCCTCTTCTACTAACTAATTCAATTGATCACTTCTATTCTAGATCTCTTCACTGCTGTTCATGATGAAACCGTCAAGAAAGAAATGAGAGACAAATTAGAGAAAAACTTCAGCCAGGTAATACATTTACTATAAATTCATTGAACGCATAACAAAGGCAAAACTATCCGACTATTCGGAATACCCAACTGTTGCTGCGCATCTTATACTGGTATACTTAAGTGAAATACCAGGATCACTCTTCTCTGAAAGAGTCTTATCGCAACTACGAGTGAAGAAAAAGTAAAAATCTTATTTCCATCAAAAAATACTTGAAGTTACAGCTCAAAGCATGAAGAGCTGTTACCACACATGAAACTTTGCTTCAAATTCATGGACGAAGAAACTTTCAGGGTTAACAAGTACATGTTTAGCTTCTTCAGTGATTTTGTTCGCAGCACCTCATCTATTCAGTATGTTTAACTCAAATAATATATTCCTATATCTTAATGCATAGTATGAACCTATATCGCCTGCATCATCTGCTTGCTAAAGCAATTTTTGGTGAAAAGAATGACGAATCAACCGAAATTGTGCAAAAACAGGTTCAAAAAGAGCCAAGTACTATACCTATGAAACAATTATATGTTCAGATTATCATTCTATGCATCAGAGAGTATGACGCATTATTCAAACCATCTGTCACACAACGTTTGTGGAAACTTGTATCAAACATAATATTTTGCGCAAAAGAACATTAGCTTTGACATCAACCTAGACAGAGTAAAGATGTTATTAATATACTCATGGTATCTATTATTCAATTCATACTGACTATGTATCAGAATTAATATATTTATAGAAAAATATTTAATATGTAAAGGTTATCTTTTATTATTAATTACCTTATAAGCTTTCTCTTTCTCTTTTCTATTCTCTCTGTCAACTTCTATTTCATACTTACTGTATTACTGATTGTTAACTGACAGATATGATTAAGTAAACAAAAAAATTATAATTCTTTGTTAGAATCTTAGTTATCCACTCAACTAATCCTATTTCACATAATTTCCTTGTCCGAGTTATCTCATACTGTTCACAATAACAATAAAATATAATGAATAAAACATACAATAGATAAGCTTAAGCACGAAACCAACACTTTTGAAAAGATAAAATAGAATAAGGGAAATGATGATAATTACCGACTAATGTGCAGATGAACACATAGTCATATGAGTTAGTTATTTTCAAATAGTTGTTTACCGTTTGACCTAGTTTTAAAAGCAAACATACTCATTCAAACTACAAAACTGATTCCTCTAGTTTCAAAGATGTGTAGTTTGATCAATCAAGCCCATAAGATAGTCACTGCAGATTAGAAGTGACATTCTCATTCTATACCATCTAATGAGTACCATTTTACGAAAAATATTTTATTGTCTCCTAATTCTTTTTCAATTTTTTTACCAAGAATCATATAAGACTTGCCTATACATATTGTCATATGATGAAATTTTCATTTCTGCATAGTTTGATGTTCATAGTTATAGCTTCCAGCAATCTGCATTTCCTATGCGTAGGATTAGAAAAGTCATAATTGAATTTGTATACATCATAAATGGAATTCATTGAAAAATCTTTGTACTCATAACATTTTTCCATTCATTCAAAATTATAATAATATGTAAATATTTGTCATAGCTTATTTGTACTAATTGACAAGTGAAATCAACAATGGTGAACAACTTCTTTAATTAGTTCTCTTCTTTTAATAAAACTTCAATTACAAAGTAATCATGAATGTATACAAAAAAACGGAAAATAAGAAATCACACAACAAATTGATATAATTGCTGTTTGAACGGCAATAATGTCATATCTATAAAAAGCTCAAACATTCAAGAAATCATTATCTAAAATTCAATAGTCCTCTAACAATAGTTTTTGAAAGAAAAAGATCCAAATGAGGGACCGAGTGCTAAGATTATTTATTGACCTAATAAACTCTGAATACTATATCCAAATCCTAACATCTTATAAAAATCCTGAGACTTTGTAAGTCAATTTGACTCAATGACCGAGAAGCTCATTGTACACGAGATCACATACTATTAATAAATCTTTTTGTTGTCAATCGATGTCTTTAATCAAACTAGATCATTTCATACTCTTCCAAATCCGATGTATAAAAATCTATGGAAGATTCTCGTTTCTCTTCTACTTTTTTCAAAGTTTCCAGATGATCTTTTGTAACTAGGAATAAGCCTCGAAGCCCTGTACCACGTTTCCGATAAACTATTTTTCTGTCCAATAAACTGAGCATAGAATCACAGAACATATTATGAGCCTGAAAGATTACTTTTTAACTATATGGCTCACAGCAAACCTTTCTCATATTAATATTCAATTCATAGTTACCAATTATGTATTCGAATATAGATGCTTTAGATGCCTTCTTTCTTGGACTTCTGACAATGGCTTCAACGATCAATGGATCAAAGTTCGGTTCGCTAGCACGTTTCACTTTCATTAGCTTATCGAAACTTGACACATTCAGTCGTCTAAACCCTGTAACGTCTATTTCTGGTATCTCGAGTAGGGCTTTGTCCAAATCTTCAGTATCCATAGTTAATCTGTAAAAAAAACAAAAATACTCACGAACTTCATGGCTCTTACAATATTTTTATGCGAGGATCTATTTCTCGTCGTGAACTGATCACACCCTCTTTCAACGGTGATTCAGTGAGCGCAGGACTCATCGCATGAGAAAAAGAGTCATCTGCTACTGTTGTCGTAACTTCATCATAGTTCAATCCATGAGATACCATTGGTTGGAGAGTGGCTATTACAGTTCCATCCTAAATGATCAAAAATCTTCGTATTAGTTATTAAAATCTTACATGAGAGATGATCGTATTTGCTTCACATAACCGATTAGACTGATAATCTATCGCTTGAGATATATAAACATTCTCAAGGATAGAAACATCCTGTATGTCTTCTGGTTTTGAATAAAAAACATTTGCAGTTAAAACGGTTGAAAACTTGGAAACATCCGATGTAATGGGGTCAAATGAATTATAGCCATTGGGCAAAGGCAGTATTTGGTTCTGAATGACTGAAAGCTGAAGAATCTAAAAGTTACAAGTGGGACTACGATGTAAGTCTCACTTCTGTGATATTGGATGAAGATATATCCATTAGCTGTATGTCTTGAGATGACTGGAAGGCGGTGTTTTGGAAAGTGAACATTCTCTCAAGGCACCCTGAATCATTGCCCATATGTGAACAGCAGAAATCTGTTGTTTCAGAAGTTCTGATATCAACATGTCCCAAATGGTGAATGTATTCAGGAGAATGACCCTTGCCAGCAATACAGTTTTTCTGAAAACAATGCAAGGTGTCTCGAGAGGAGAAACCAAAAAAACCTGGATGGTATGTGAATTATTCACATCAAACGAATCCATCGCATGATTTTGACATGAATGAGACGAAAAAGAATCTGAATCCGTCAAATACTCCTTAATATATCAACAAGTACAATAGTGAAAGTAGAATTTCAGTTGAAACAATGAGAATGATAAAGATATTGATTCAATTGCTTACTTTATTCTCGTTCAGTTCATGATCAATCATCTCTGAGTAATGCAAGGAACACGTATCAGAAACGGTAAAATGTCTATTCTGATCAAAACTCATATCTAATTCATTTTCGTTAATGAGAATATTGTTTTCATTTGAGCGGTTCATAGCTTGTCTATGAATATATATTATTTCTGACAGTTGTACAGAAGAAAACAGTAGAATGGCATTTCCAAACAACACTATTACCATGGAAAAACAAAAATACAATATTGAGGTGAAATAAAAAATGTCGATTTAAAGAACGATACGGTTATAGGCAGATAGTAGAGAGCATAGGGTTATGGGACAATTGACAACTTCTATGTTGCGTTCATTTGCACGTCTTTGACCTTTGATCCGAAAAGGACAAAATGATTGAATTTAAAAAAACGAAATGGCCATTATCTATTTGATCATCAAAGACGAAAATGTATCAATCGAAAAAATAAGACGATTGAAAAGTAAATGAAAGATGATAAGAAACAAATAATGAAATGAAAAAACAAAAGATGTAATGAAACAAATTCTTAGTTTAATGATTTGCTTTTTAGAAACGTGGGGCTTGAAAATACAGTTTACAATCATTTTACTAGTGCTTTCATATTGATTAGGTTGTGAAATGATATTTTACATAGATGGTTTCAACTGAGTAAAACTTACAAGCAATAGAATTCAACATGTGTCAGTCGTTGACATCTGTGTGTATGATGAAGTTTACTGAGACATTAAGCAACACGAATAAAAAGAATATACGAAACGAACAAATCATTTTGTTTGACTTTCCTTTTTTGACTGAATAGAAGCTTACAGCACATGAAGCATGTCGCTTGAGCCACCAAACTCTTTTTGAGCAAGAGGGTTTTAAATATAAATTTTTGAGAGGGTTTCAAATATAAATTCGTAGATATCATTGAATTACATGTTATATCAACTATGAGAAATCAAAATAAATGATTGAGTTTAAACATTCAACAATTCATCGCGATGATTGTAAATCTAATATACATTTACTTTTTGTTCTTAAAAGCTCAGCAGACGACAATAATGGCATTAAACCATGATCGAGAAGCTTATGCTAGGTGTGCTGGAGCGTATGAAGTACAAGACGGGCCCAGCAAGACATGCTGATTCATTTAGATACTCGACTATACATTTAGAAGACTCTTTCAACGTTGCAAAATGATTACGAGAAGATGAAACTATGAGGCCCTTCATGTCGTTTCATTTTTATTACATGAAGATATCTGACCAATTGAGCAGAGAGTATCTTATTGTATGAAAACTTCTACATTTTTTCAAAAAATAGTCAATGCTGGCTGAAACGTTATAACACTCATTTGTTACTTGGTAAATCAGAAAATAAATGATATGTTACTGTGAAGCAAATGAGCTCTGAGATGTGAGAGAAACAAATGAAAAAAAGGTCATAGAACAGACTCCAGCGCACGTGATATATCAAAAAACTCACTATATTTGAAGAGAATCTTTCTCATAAACTATTTTCATCACATAACATAGCTGTATTTCTTTCGTCATCATTCCCAAATAAATTAAAACGATATAATCTTTCAATGCAACCCTAATTATTTATAAACAAGTTTTTGTCGTTTTGACATCAAATAATCAATATGACATGCCAATAAGTAGATATCACTATTTAGCAATAGAGCACGATTATGGCATTTGAAGTGCAGTGTCGAAAATACTGTTTAGCATTGGAGCATGATTATAATATTGTTGCATCAATTAGGTCACAAAGGTCATAATAAAAACTACAATAAACATCAACAAAATTATTATAAGAAGTATTTATTGATTTTTATATTATAATTAATATCACAGCATGTATAAATAAAAATATCACAATAAATGGAAGAAATATCACAGAAATTATGTACAATATCACAAAATACTTAATAAAAACAAGTATAAAACTTAACTACTATTTAATTACCCGAATTTTTAAGAGTTTTTTTTACCCTTTTCGCTTCGTATTCTTCTTCGGCATACGTGTATTTGCCACCGCAAATACTCTCGATTAGATTTTGGCTGATCAAATGCCCCAGACTCAGGTTAAACTGTTCTGGTATCTGCAACAATAACAATTATATTCATAATGACGTTTTTACTTACCTGGGACTCGTCCTCGAAGTCATAGTGATTCAAGACAAAGTCCATCATGACTTCTCTTGAAGCACCATTACCTTCGTCCAAGATCTGGATGGTTTTCCGAACCATCCTCAGATAGTGTTCGGACGGTTCAGTGGAAGAACCATTCTTCGGGACAAGTGAACGCCCCGAATCCGAACCTTCCCTTTTTTGCACGAGGAGGTACAATCCGTCAAAACCAACTTCTTGGCTTTGACGGATTTTTTCACCGTCCATCATATCGGTGATAGCGGCGCAGAAGTGGAAATAAGCCTGAAAATAATATGTTATCAAATTAAAGCTATAAACTAGACTTACCGCTTTTACCGGTATCGAAAACTGATACCGGGAAATGATTATCTCGAAGATATCTGATTCTGAAGCCATTTTACTCTCTGACGATAAAATGGCTTCGAGAATCAGATCCTCGAAATTTGGGATCTCGGCATCCCTGACCGATGTAAGCCTGTCGGCTTGGCTTACATCAAGTCTTCTAACTCCAGACACATCAGTTTCTATGAAGTGTCGAAGTTGATGGCTGAGTTCAACCTCATCCATCGTCAAACTGCAACAAAAACAATAAATAGTCATTGATTGATAAAATGAAACTCACAATGGGAGCAGTGCTTCCCTCATGATGCCGTCCGGAACTGGACTTCTCGATGTAGAAGGCTCCTGAAACCAGAAAATTATCAAAATTAGAAAAAAACTCAACTCACCCGCCCTCTTTCCATTGTCAGCTCGAAACCCGAGCCCTCAATCACCCGAACCGATTCGGCGGTCTGAAAAATTAGGTAAATAAAAGAACTTTGAAAAAGCATGACATACATCTATGTACTCCGTTGGAGAAGTATCCACTGCTAGCAGCATGTGGAACTCACGAGGCCCGCTTGGTCCCGCAACTTCTCCATGAGTAGCGTACTAGAAAAAATAAGAATTTAACGTTATTCATCAAAAAATTTAACCTCATCAATAGCTCCATTTTCGTGCTGATCACGGTCAGATGAGTTCATTTTAGGACCGCTGAAAAAAAGTTGATTAATAAAAAAAGGTAGAATTATCGAATGATATTACTATAGAACGAAATGATCAAATTTTTGCTGCGGTCATAACCGTGGTAATGAATCACCGGAACACATATGTTAATGTTTGACATATAAAAAACATTGTCATACGTTTGCTAATATTGACTCATAAAAAATATGTAGAAATTATAATTTAATCAAAACTAATATAAATCTACTATAGTTCAATTTTGAGATGAATCATCAAGAAACATCCTTTGTCTTTTAATGATTCGTTTTCAAAAAATGTCACAAATAGAATGAAGGTATAGATTGTCTATAGATCGAATATGAGATCATTTAAAGCATGAATCAAAAATCTGTAGAAGTCTATACCATCCATAACAACGCATCGAATGAGAAACAAAAGGTTAAGACCGAAACGCATGGAATCGATTTGGTGTGCACATAGATGGGGCGAAAACTCAAATGTGATATGTTCTGGAGAGCTAGGTTTAGCAAATCGAAGCTGAAGCAGCAATGCGAATATTAATAATAGAGACTATGTAAAACATGAGAGAGGAAATTAATGATGGTGTCTATGTAGACAAAAAGGCTTTTCCAGTAGGAGGTTTTCTATTCATTATCTGTTGACATCTGGTTTTCAAGATCTTAAACCCATAATTACTGGTCATTATGCAGCTTATAGAGCATGCGGATTAAATAGGTCGAGCTAAGGTCATATTACTTCACTCGAGAGCCATTTTTTCCAGCCAGAAAAGCAGATGTTTATGAAAGATTATAGTTGTGTGGTAATGAGCATTGGATGAGAATAAGAGATGAATATAAATGGCTTCGAGGAAATTGGAATCATGAAAAACTAATTTGAAAATGATTTTTCAGTGTTCAAAATAGGATATATTGGGGATAGACTAATATATGTATAAAACATACAGACATACGAATTTAAATCTACTACAGCGAATACACGCATTGCTTGTGATACTGACAACATTATGTGTGAGAATAATCATATAGTATATTATAACATTTGGATGAAAAAGCATATAATCAATAAAACTATTCATACTATCGTAATAAAGCATGTGAAAAAGCAATAGTATCATGAGAAACGTTAAGTAATGTGTTTGAAAAACTTGAAAAACATTAAACTTCATTAATCAATAACGCTTTCAACTTGCGTAGCTTTTTTCTTCGAGAATGACCTTTAAAAAGGCATTGTTGAGAATGATACAAGAGAAGGTAAATGAGATGATTTTCCTTTATTGCATTTGTTAATCAATTGCCATATATATAGATATATTATATACTTCATTCATCACTTATCTAACGATTATATCCAGAAAGACGCAACGATCATGCAGACTACAAAGTACAACAGAGAATCACCTCATTTACAACACTTTCTTAATGAAAATGTGAAATTAGTAAGTTTTGAAAGTCTTAAAAAGTGCTCATTATCACACTTATTGAAAAATCAGTGGATGTGAAAGGATGTCGATTTTATTCAATACGTGGTATTATCTTTGAAGCTAAAAATTCAGTCTAATAAATGCACTTCGCAAATATTTTTGCTCTGCCGATAAAGCCGAGCATTCACGAATCGTAGTATCAATATGGACACCGGAAGTACTACCGAGCAAAACCCGCGCCAAACATCCAAAATTGCTGAAAACTGGAGCACCAGAATAACCGCGCCTTGATCCGGGAGTTTTGACTGAAAAATCTATTTTATTATCATTAATTATTAAAAATAATGATGATAAACCAATGAAGTATAATCTATCTGACTGAAATGAATGTGATCATCCATGATTTCTTCGATAACTCCTTGTGTAACAGACGGTCGCGCAGTCACAGTGCCATTCGGATAACTCTGAAAATATAGTCCTATAATATTCAAAAAAAAGCTTCGATTTTGTAATCCTTCGACAAGATAACATTCGTTAAGCTTGAAGGACAAATAGGGCAGCCGTCGAAATCTTTCGATCAGACATCAGGACTCCACACCCTTAGGAATCATTTTGTTCGAAAGCCATGAATACACGGTCTTCCCATTCCATCATCACTTTTGGAATTCCTAAATTATTGTTTATCGATCATTTATTATAAATGTCATACGATCTGGTCAAAAATTCATAAGAGTCGGTGAAACTGTTGAAGATCAGGACTGTGCTCTGTCCGAATCGACAAAAATGGCAAATCTCGTCAACCGTTAGGCAGGAAAAACGCTGTGCCAGTTTCATTCATTCTAAATTAGCTTAGAAACAATCCGAAATAATTTAAAATGTAACTTACCGACAAAATTTTCGGCGGCCATCTACTTCACACCACATCGAAACAACCGCATCATCGGGAAGTAACAAAACGGATTTGACGGAGTTTTTGGCGAGCATATTGCCCGGCGAATTTAATTCAATGTCCTTATCCATCATTTTGATTCGGATCCCTTGTGCCATTTTGATAGACAAATGTATTTCAAAACAAAGAATTAATTGTTGCACTCTGTAAACATATTCGATTAATTCGAAAAAGAGAGGGAAAGTACGAATAGTTGTTGACAAACTCTAAGTTGCGGAGAAAATAACAATGGTAATTATGGGTGGGAATTCACGAAATCACCGCGAACACAGAAGCAAAATAAAACTTTTTCTATTCACGAAGGTTAATGGAAAAATGCGATATTGGCTATCTCTCGCTTTCCTTTACGTCTCTGCTCGCGCGTCACTCTCATTACCCTACCGATTTTGCCCAACGCGTGCGTCTTGTTCAACTGGAGCAACTGTGTGATTGTTGTCATGTCTACTATCTACTACTATCTAATGAACTTTATTGTTTAATTTAAACTTTAACAATATGTAAATCAACAAGTAACAATACGAAGCATAATGATCAACTAGAACACTTACAACTCCATGAAAGTAGAACCTATTGTAAATTACACTAAGAAACTAACCAATAGGAGAGAATATCATGAAAAAAATCAACTTTTTTGAATTCATGTGAGGAATGTTGATTGATAGTTGGGTTGTTGATGACACTTGTCGTCATTGTTCTCAGTTTTCACCAAAGAAATTCCGAATCGCTTCATCTGGATCGATAGTTCCAAGAGATACTCAATACACTCAGTTCTAAAAAATTGTACAAATTATGTCATTCGTCTGAACTGACGTTATTTTCGTTTGCTCCCAGGTTGGACCCCAAACAAAGAGTCCGTGATTCCTGACGAGAACTGCGCAAGAACAAATTGGTTCTGAGAGAATACTGGAGAGATCATTCTACAATATGAAACAATCAATAATATGTTGGAATCACAAATGATAGTACAATCAATTCAATTTCACTGGGTTTGTTATCAATAATTGGAATAGATAGCGTATCTGTGTTCGCAAGTGTTTTACCAGTGAAAGGATTCCAAACTCCTAGAAACAGAGTTTAATGAAATTTGGCATTTTCAAACACAACCTTTTAAGTACTCTTGATGAGAAATTTCATAGAAACATGAATTACCAAGAAGTTGAGTTATCAAGTTAGCAGAAGAGCTGTGAGTATGAATAACAGTAGAACATCCTTAAGATTCCGTGTACAAGCTCATAGGTAAATAAAATCTTCAAACCAGTTGCATTCATTATAAGACTGAACAGAGGAGCACATGACGACGGTTGAGTGTCCTTAGGCAATTGTACTGCTGTCTTCTTCTCTACGTCATATATCAACAGATCATCGCTATAATATGAAGATGAATTTGGATGAAGTTGTTGCCGACCTAATTATTCTTTCTTTTTGTAATGCAGATGGAGATATGAACAACAATTCTTCTTGTAAGCAACCCATAGCTCCTCCAGACCCTCTCATCCATCCTAAATCATAGAAGTTCTGCATCAATTCGGCGAAAACAGAAGATGTCAATTTCTAAAAAAAGAAAACGTGTTCAAATTTCTAAAACTACTATTACCTGACGTGAAAACGAGTTCACATGACAAGTAAGCTGAAGAAAGTTGTCATCCTTCAAAAAATCAAACATTCTATCTGGAAACTCGAGAAAAAATGAAATAAAACTGATTGCCAGCAGTAATAGTACAATCATACGTATAAATTGACTATGAATAAACAATTTAAGCCTCTAGTTGTTAGATTGTTATACGTAAACAGAGAAAGAATCATACGACGCTCGACGCTTGTAACACAGTAACAGTAAAATGAACTATCGTAGTTTTGCGTACTGTAAGAAAAAAAAAGTGTGTCACGAAAAATCGCTTTTCAACTACTTTTGAATACCAACTATTTTGGTCTCTTTAGAAATAGTTGATTTCGACTAAGTTGACTATTGCTGGAAGTAGTCGACTGTTGTAGTCGAGTATTTCAACTCTCAACTGGCTATTTTTAACATATCTTACTTGTAAATTTTCGCAAAAGAGCGCGCTTGCAATTCACAAAAAAGCTTTTTTTTTAATATATTCAAACTTAAAACTATGATAGTCGACTATTTTAATATTCAATTACTCTTTCATAATATTCGATTACGGTAGTCAGTTTTGGCATGCTCGTTGAAAGTTGAACCGCAAGTCGCAGTGACGTCATTAGTCGATTATAGCCGACTAGTAGTTGATTATCGATTATATTCGTGTGACACTCTAAAAAAAACATTGGAAAAAGACAGACATGGGATAGGTATATAAAATACATTCTCAAAGTTGAAGAGAGGTTCATTTAAGAGATGGTAAATGTCAGTACAAGTGCAAAAAAAATTGTATAAAGCTAGAAGTCTCAAAAACCCTAACTGATTAGCTTCTTATCTACTGCTCAGCAGAAAGTTTCATATTGTATACAATAAAACAGAGCATATCAGTAACAGAATACTGAACTTCAAAAATTCATAAAACTATAGAGAAACGAATAATTGCGATCTTACATTTGAGCTATGACGGGAATTAGCGGTGAAACAGAAACTGCTCTCATTCTCTTTCTCTGTCTCACTTTCTTACCAACTTTCAGTATGCTGTATGAGTACATAAAAGTGAAAAAAATAAAGTTTTATTCATTCATTCTACTATCATCTCAAATCTTTCCTCTTCCGCACACTCTCATACTCATTTCTTCTTTATTCTCCCGAAATATTATCAGTGACTTGAAGAAAAACCAATGTATTCACAGTTTTGAAACTTCAATCGATAGAATACTGTCTGATGAAGACTTTTCTGGTATAGTTTTCGGTTATTAAATGAATAGTGAGTACATTTAAGGTCTGTGAGCATGAGATTCTTTGCTTTCAGGTCATTTTCTTG